CCGGGACGCCCAGGGGGCCCGGCCCGCGGCCTGCCTTGCGCTTGGGGTCAGAGCGTGGAGGCCCCTGGAGCCGCAGGCCTGCGTGGGCGTCCAGCCTGGGCCTTGCGGGGCCTTTGTGTCAGGAGAGCGGGGACTGGAGGCACCGAGGCGGGGGCCGCCCGGGGTTGGGGTCCCAGCTGCTAAAAGGCAGTTGTTTGGGTGTCTGTGTGGGGCAGCCATCCTGGGATGGTCCTCAGAGCCCTGGGAACAAGGACACACTGGTCTGTGGAGGCAGGCCTGTGACTGGGGAGCAGACAGAGACTGGGGAGACCAGAACAGAGACGATTGCAGGAGCCCGCTGCTCTGGGCCAGCCCAGGGGCCAGGGCGCCGAGAGATGGGCGCCCGAGGAAAGCAGAGGGCGGAGGAGGCTGGGGCGGGGCCTCAGCTGTGTGCAAGGGCTTCCTGGTGGCTGACAGGGTCGCGGACCTGAGTGGCGAGTGGCAGCGAAGGCGGGGTGCAGAGCCCCCGGCTGCGGGGCGCTTCTAGCCACCGGGCGTCAACAGTGTTTGTCGCCGACCCACTGAGCCCTTCCCGCCAGCCCCACGCCAGCCCGGAACAACGCTGCGCTGGAGACGGAAATGGTGGCGGTCCCAGTCACTGGCCGAGGCCTGGGGAGGGGACACCGGCTTCCCAGGCCTCCTGCCCAGCTGGGCAGCAGCAGGGACTTAGAAGGGGGAGGGGGGCTGGAGAGCCCCAGGGTCTGCTTCGGGGGTTCAGAGAAACAGGCAGGGTCTTGCCCCAGCGTGGACGTGGGATGGCGTGGGCAGGCAGGGAGGCTTCTCTTTCCGTGAGGAGGTCACGAGGCCGTGACCGCCATGTCTTCCGTCCTGCCTGCTTCAGCCCGTCTCACCTGGCTTCCTGTCTGCTAGAAGAGGAAGAATTTCTGCAGGGAAAGATAAACAGGAACAGCAAGAACAACGAACTCACGGTCACTGCTGGTGACAAGAGCGTGGGTGCGTGTGGCCTGGGGACGCCTCGCCCACATACCACGTCGTTGTTCCCCAAGTCCTTCCCACCGTTGTTCCTTGCCCCACACAGGAAAGGGCCAGGCGTGCGCCTGTGAGTCACGAGGAAGGTGGATTATGTGGCAGTGGCACCGGGCACTTTGCATACATTATGTCTGCCGCAACACAGAGGTCAAGTAATTTTTGTCCAAGGTCACACAGCCTGTAAGCAGCCGAGTCAAGATTTAAGATGCACCCTCGAGCTCGCTCCAAATCCTGTGACTGCCACTTTACAGACAGCCTGTGACCCCCGCAGGAAGAACATTCCAAGCACCGAGCGTAACGACCCTGACGTCCCTGCCCCCACCGCTGTCCACGGCGGCCAGTCTGACTGCATCCCCACCCCCAGCACACTCGCCGTTTTGAAGTGTAGCTTGGACACTGTACAATTTCATCAGTCAGTTTCGGTTTTTACATTGAAGTTCTGTCACTTACAAATCACTAATTCTGAACGTCGTTAAATATGCAGCCCTCTGCTGACGCGCAGTTGTTTCACGAGTGCGTGTGCACGCGCTTGTGTTGCACGCGCCTGTGTGTGCACGCGCCTGTGTGTGTGTGCACGCACCTGTGTGTGTGTGTGCACGTGCGTGTCGGCGAGGGGCTGGCCCCTCGGTCTCGTGTGACCTGCCCCCTCCCGGCGCCTCTCACGCCTTTCCTGAGTTGCCCGGAAGGTCCAGGTCGTGTGTCCTCCAGCCTGGACTCTGCCGGCGGCTGTCCCGGCGTCCTTTGCCACGTTCTTCTGCCCCCATGGGGCAGACAAGTGGGCGTTAGGTGAAGAGGTCTGAATCATCTCAAGCTCCTTTTCTTTTGTTTGTTTTTGGCAACAGCAAAATGTTCTCCCTGCAGGGGTCACGAGGACCAGGTTGTCTCTTTTTTGTGACCTCAGCCGCATCGATCCATTCATTTATTAGGAGTGGAAAAATGAGGCTGTTTTAATTCTCTTGGGGCTTTTTCATTTCCAGGCTGCAATACTTTCTGGAGAAAGTGCTCACTCTAGCTGTTGGCTAACATAGAGGAAGAATCTGTGCTGGGAAGTTAAGTTCAAGGGGGTACCTGACCACCCCCCCCCCGTGTCATTTTTAGTTCTTTAAATTACGTAGTGGGTCAGCAGCACCCTCTCAGGTGCTGACCCACTGAATTGGTTTGCCTCAGAATGATTTTGAACTCAAGTGTTTAAGCAGAACTGATGTTTCGATCCCCGCCTTTGCTGTTTGATACATAAATTGGCCCATCTCCGGCCGGCGGGACTCCTTCAAGGTGATTCCTGACTCCTTTACACAGGTTTTAAGTCTTTGAGAGGCTCACATCATATGGCTGCTTTTAAGGTGAAGAACGAGACGAGGGTTTTTAATCTCACCAGTTCTATTCAACATTGCACTGGAGGTTCCAGCTTATGCAATAAGGCAAGAAAATAAAATACAAGCCACTCTGAGACAAAAGGAAGAAGCAGAACCATCTCTATTCACAGATGACTTGGTTCCCAAATCTGCAAAAAAAAAAAAAAAATACTGTAATAAATGAGTTCAGCAAAGTGACAAGGTAGAAGATCAATATAAAAAAAATCAATTGCATTTGTATGTGTGTCTACGTGTGTGTGTGTGTGTGTATAGGCACATGCGTATTACAAATGAATAATCCAAAAGTGAAATTAAGAAAATACTTGCACTCATAATAGTATTAGAAAGTATAATATACTCGGGATAAACTTAACTCATGAAGTATAAAACCTGTACTATAAAGTCTTACTGAGAGAAATTAAAGATTCACATAATGGAGGAGCCCGTGCGTGTTCCGCGAGGGGAATCGGGTGGGAAGCTCGGTGTTGTTTCGATGGCAGGTCTTCCCAAATCGATTTCTAGATTCAAAGCACCTCCTGTCAAAATCCCAGCAGGCTTGATTATTGTTGTAGCTGCAGAAATTGTCATGTGAATCAACGACTTTATGGAAATTGAAGAACCTTATTTGAAAAAGAACAAAGTTGGAAGGACTTCAAGTGCCTGATTTCAAAGCTCTGCTTAGGCTGCATCAGGACGGGGTCGTTTTGCCAGAGCCGGGGGACTGCAGCACATGACCCCGAGGTGAAGTCCCACGTGTGTGTCCACTTGTTTCCAGCAAAGCACGGAGGTCCTTCCACCGGGGGAAGGCGCAGAGAGCCTCTGCCTAGACCCGAGCCAGACCAAAGGGTAGGCGATCGGGTTCCCCGACTGACCCAGAGCCCTGTGTCCATCCCACGGAAGTTAACTAATGAGGCGTCGATGCGTCGTAGACTTAACGTGAGCTAAAACTATAGAGCTTTTAGAGGAAAACACAGGGTTTATGTGACTTTGGGTTTGGCCAAAGGAAAAGTGGATGTGACGTTAGAAGCACAGTTTGTAAAGAAAAATGGACACGCTGGGCTTCACTGAGAAAGGTTTGTTCTTTCAGTGAAACAATTAAGAAAGGACGAGTCACGGACCGTGGGGAAGTGCCTCCTGCGTATCTTTCCTAGACCGTCTACCGCTCAGCCAACTGTATGCTGACGGGCTCGTATCGAAGGTTGTCGATAAGAAACGGTCACAGCGCAAAAGGAAGACAAGTAAATGACAAATGGGCAAAAGATTCAAGCAGACATTTTAGCGAAGAAATTACATGAGTGGCTAATAAGGACTTGAAAAGATGCTCAGCGTCATTAGTCATTAGAGAAATGCAAATGAAAACCCGCCCGCCGCCCGCCGATGGCTGGGACCCAGGAGACTACAGACAGCACCAAATGTTGCGGGGGATGTGGAGAAGCGGGGCTCCCCTGCATTTTGGGGGGAGGCAGCCCCCTGGGAAACAGTCTGGCGGTTTTCCTTTCGGTTGTGAGAGCTGGCTACCTCCCACATATTGTTGCCGGGTTTCGATTCAGGCTTAGGGAAGCTCTTTCCTCTTTTAGGTTATGGAGAAATTCATCTCTATTCTCTCCCACTACACACTTGGCTTTATTAATTCATTTAAATCTCTGGTCCCTGTGGCATTCACGCTGCTCTATCACGGGGAGGGTAGATCCTATTTTATCTTTCTCCGTGAGCCGATTGTTTCACTTATTAAAAAGTCAACCGTCCTCCCTACCTACCTGAATTGAGATATCTCCTTTTTCGTATAATAAATGTGTGTTTGTAAGTGGAAATGCGTCGGGATGTTCTAGTCTGTTCCACCGCTTTTTGGCTTGTATGTCACGAAGCCCGGCGTCAGGGTGCACCGGCGGCCGCAGGGCCAGCCCCTGCGCCTCGGCCTTCTTTATCGATTACGTATCTTAATTGTATATCAGCTTCTTCACTTTCATAATTGGCAGTAGCTTTTCCCTCGATTCCATCATCTTTTTACCATAGCGCGCAGAGCGTGATTGGTTTCGCATCTGTTTCTTCGATTCCGAGGTTACCTGGTGGACGCCTCCGAGGTTGGGTGCAGCCCCCTCCCCTCGCCGTGACGCCCTCTTGCCGCGGAGCAGAGGTGGCAACTGCTGCCCGGGCTTCTCGGCCCACCAGCCTTCGTTCGGCTTCTCCCGGAAGGAGGCCGCGCCTGAGGCTTTGAGCGACGCGAGTGCTGTGAGAGGCCCTCGAGTCCCCGCCGGCGTGCGAAGCGAGAGGTGATACAGGCGGGCGATAGGGCCCTTCTCCCCAGCAAGTCAGCACGCCGTGGCGGGGTGCTCCGGGCAGCAGGCCTCCACAGGGGCCCCCAACCACGGGACCCGCGGTGTCCTCAGCGTTGTTCCAACTGGGGGGCCAGACGCCCAGCATTCGCCCTCTGAGTCCCTGCCGGCGGGCAGGGGGTGGTCACTGAGCAGCAGAGAAGAGCCGGCCTCACGCCTGGACCGGCCCCGCCCTCTGTGCCAGGCCAAGAGCCGCGGGTGTCGCCGGGACTGTGTGTGGCTGTGCGTGCTGGGCCATCACCCGGCCCGGCAGGGCAGCTGTGAGGCCGCGCGAAATGCAGCTCGTAGGGACAGACTCGGGCGGAGACGGGCGGGAGGCGCGGGCAGGCGTGGCAGAGGGCCTGGAGCCACAAGTGGGGGCGCAGCCTGGGGTGGGGTGCAGGGGCCGGCAAGGGCGTGGAGGCTGGCGCGTGCCCGCGGGGGAGCAGGCGCGGCCGCAGCGAGGCCTCGAGGAGACAGGTGCAGTCACAGGCACAGGCTGTGAGACAAAAGTCACCTGTGTGGATTCTGAGGGTCTCCGTGGACTGCTCCAGTGGTCGTGAGCACCGGCCACCTGGGGCCTCAGACAGGAGCCCGAGGGGGCCCCAGTGGCAGGGGCCCGGCGGCAGAGATGCTCGCACCGGCGGGGACAGTGTCAAGGTCGCCTTCCTGCGGGAGGCCGGTGCTCCCAGACAGGGCCCTGCCCGTGCCGGCCCGGGGACGGAGACGGCTGCTGAGTCCGGCCCGGGCCAGGATGAGCTGCAGTCGAGCTCCGTGTCAGGTCTCGGCTGTGTGACGCCATCTCGGCCCTGTCGCCTCTGTTCTTAAGGGGCAGAGAGGTGGGGGCTCCGGTGGCACAGGACTGGACCCCTGTCAGGCTGTCCCAGCCGGGAGGGACCCCCAGGCCGCAGCAGCCCTCTCCTGTCTCCCCGCGCTCCCTCAGCACTGGGTTCGGTCCACCCGCCTGTTCTGCTCCCCACCCCGTCGGAGGAATCCGCTCACCCCCTGCACCTCTGGCCTACACCCCAGATCTTGAATGCACAAACACATCTTTAAAAAAAATGAAGCAGAGAAGACAGAGGCCCGTGTGGCCCCATCCGACCGCGCCCACGCAGCCCGGGTGCCGACGGGAGCTGTGGCTCGTGACGCCTCGAATTGCCCCGCCCCTCCCCCTCCATCCCCACCTCTGCCCACATTCCCCCTCAGGTGCGGCCCCAGTGGCGGGGCCCCCCACCCCCGCACCCCAGGGGTGCTGGCGTCCCTTCCCACAGGCCCGACCTGCTCCTGCCGGCGTCCTCTCCCGCGGGCACGGGGCCCCCGCCTGGCTCCCCTGTTGCTGTTCTCGGCCGTGCGCTCCGGAGGGGCTTCCGCCGTCAGGCCGGGCAGAGGCCGCGTCTAACAGAGTCAGAGTGTGGGTTAAACACGACCAGGACACCCGTAACCGCGAGTGAAAACGTGACTCCACGTATCGGGGCCGCTGCGGCCGGACACTGGGTTCCCGTGGGAGTAATGGTGCTTCGAAGCGTCCAATGACAGGGCCACCCTGGAGGTCACCTTTCCTTGGGTGGGTGTCGTGGACGTGAGGGTGTCCGGGCGCCCAGTCTCTGGCTCCCGCCAGTCACCATCCGGGGGGCTGGTCAGCAGACACCTGGGGGCTGCAACCAGGCCGAGGACAGGTGGGTGGGCAGGTCCCCCTCCTGACTCGGGGGTCCTGCCGCGCTCACGGGCCTCCATTGCTGTTTGGAGGGAGCAAGTCAAAAGCGGGGCCTCGTGGGGCAGGCGTGTCCTGCCCTGGTTCCCGGGGCCCCTCCCTGGCGGTGGGCTGTGGGTCCTCTTGGGGCGCGGGCCACAGGCTTGAGGTTGGGGTGAGAGCCACGCGGAGGCGGGAGCAGGCAGGCTGTGGGGGTCCCGCAGGTGACGCCCCCCCATCCCCGGCGTCAGCTCCCATGGGCGGAAGCCAGCCCTGAGCCTGGTGGCCGCCGACACAGGGGTCGTCCCCAGGCCCGTCGTGGCCCCCAGCCTGTGTCTGGCTGCCGAGCGAGGGGGCGCGGCTGGCTGCTGTGGCCTGGCGTGACGCCCGCACCCGGCCGCGGAATGGTGAGACGGAAAAGCGCGTGCTCTGCTGGTGGGTGAAAGGCCCCAGCGAAGAAGGGGTGGCGCAGGGGGGTGATAAGTTCAGGCCGGCGGCAGCCAGCTCCCCCCAGTTCTGCGCTGGTCGGGCGCCGCTGACCCACAGGGGCAGGGGCTGGCTCTGGGCTGCGGGGGCGGGGGTGTGGCGGGCCCAGGGGCCTTCCCGGAGGCCGGACCCCCACACCCCGGGGACAGCTGTTCCCAGGGCCTGCGCTCAGTTTTGGGGCACAGCCTTCCCTCCTCCTCTCCGTGCTGTTTCCAAGCCCAAGCGTGCGACCCTGGCGTGTGCACGTCTCTGCGGCTGAGACGTGGCCTCAGGAACCCCCTGGCTCTTTTTGTCGTTTTAAACAGTTCGAGCCCCTTGGCGCAGTTTGCAAGTGGGTGGCGACAATTTGCAGAGATAACTGGGCACGGCCGGACCGACGCGCCTGCCGCTGGTGTCTGTGCCCCTGTCGGCTGCGGCCGGGTGGGGCGCCCCAGGCACTCAGCCCGGGGGGTCCCCTGGCACCACCCTCGTGCGGGCGGGCACCGGCCCGGCCGCCCGCAGCGCCCCGCCATTGGTGTGTCCTGACAGCCGCTAGTGTCCGCGCTCAGCTTATTTATTTCCTAATGCTGGTGATGGATTAGAAGACGCGTAGGAAATCTCTCCGTCGGAGATACGATCCCGCAGGCCGCACAGCCCCCGGCTCTGCCTGCGTTCCCTGCCTGTTTTTCTTACTCTTCCACGCCGTGTGTCGTGAGGGGGGGCCCCCGGGGGGCCCCAGGCCCGGCATCGACACGCCTAATGCGTTAGGTGCCGAGCCGCCAGCAGATGCCGGCTGCCCATGGAACACGGCTAACCCCGGGAGTCGTAACGAAAGGTGAGAAACGGGGTCCCGGCAGCCGTGGGCCCCGCTTCTCGGTGGAGACTTTCACGGGCGCCGAGATCTTTCTCCGGCAGGTTCCTGGTGCTGGTTTCTCGTGGTAACCTGACCGTTTGCTGTTCCTAGACCCCAGAATGGCTCCATGATACTCTACAACAGGAAGAAAGTGAAGTACCGGAAAGATGGGTATTGCTGGAAGAAGAGGAAAGACGGGAAGACCACCCGGGAGGACCACATGAAGCTCAAGGTCCAGGGAGTGGAGGTAAAGCCGGGCAGCGGCGTGGACCCCGGGGCTGCGGGCGGCGGCCGGCGCTGGCGAAGGCGTCCGTTGGCCAGAGCGGTTGCCTCTGCCGCTCATCCTGACCACCCTGAGCCTCCTTTCTGGTTTCCCGTGAAACAGGCTCCTGGGGCGCCCGGGGCCTTGGGAGCTCAGGGCCAGCAGGAGGGTGCGGCTCTGCGGAGCACGGCCTTGGGTCAGAGGCGCCGCGGGAGCACGGGAGCGGCGGGGAGAGCCGGGCGGCGTCGCCCTCCCCAGGGCCGCCGGCGGCGGTGACTCTGTCCCCGACACACCCCCGTCTGCCCCGCCTGCTGCCGCTCGAGGCTCCCGCGTTGAAGGTGATCTCACGGCCTCTCAGGGCCGTGGGGCTCTTGCCGGGACGACCTCCTGGGACCAGACTTCGCCTCTGGCTCAGGGCGGGGGGGCGCAGTGGCTCTGAGCTGCGCTCTTCCCGGGGCCTGCGTCACTGTGGCTGGGGGGTCGGGAGGCCGTGCGCCCCGCTCGGCACCGTGACCCCCGGAGCGGGTCAGCCCAGAGCACACGGGTGCCGTCCCGGCCAGCAGAGCAGGGGCTGGCACAGCCCTGGGGCGTGGGGTGCTCTGGCCCCGGGTGGGCCTGGGCCCAGCATGCTTTGTCTCCTGGGCTTCCCGTTAGTCACGTGACTTTATGTTCAGACAGCGCCAGGGGCTCTCCTCGCTTTCCCTGACGGAGCGAGGGCGTGGGCTTCGCTGTCGCGGCGTCTGTGAAACACACGTCGTGTTGAGCAAAGCAAAACCAGCTGTGAGAAATTGCATGTGGTGCGTCCTCC